TATATAAACACACAGGAGGTGACTAGCTTAGCGTATGGCGAGTCCTTACTTGCGTTCTTATGAATTGAGAAACGGCCTATGACTTTAGACTCGACTTCAGACTCTCCTCTCCTCTTGTAGATCTGACCAATGCAGTAAAATGCTAACTAACCAATGGGCAGAAGTTGACCCTGTAAGACGCAGCCTTCCTCATTTGCATAATGAGGCAGAACTGTAAAAACGACAGGCAGAAATAAATAGCATTAAAGAGATATATAGGGTAAGAAAATACAAAGGAAGAATAAAACAGACAAAAATATAACATGCACATAAATAAATACTTAATATTTAAAAATAAGTTATTAATAAATAAAGTTGAAGATTATAACTGTCATAGTGGGCTTTAAAGATCTGACCCACATGCAGAGAACCACTCAGAGACCAAGGGTAAAAGGTAACTGGTTTATTGAGGGTTAGCAAAACACAGATGGAGAGAGATATTCTGCTGGGTAATACTGTTGAACCTCAGCGGACTGCTGAACCGGAACCGGAAACTGTTTTGGGGTGCTCTTGGTTATTCCTTTCATTCAGTTTGTGGGGTTAAATCCAGAGAAGAATGAACTCGTTGGAGAGTGGACAGGCAGACTAACGTTGGACCCAGACGAGTAAAGGAGTGGACTGTCACTTGGTTTTCCCGAAGTGGACTTGAACGGATCATGTGGAGGTTTCCCCTTGCCCAGTGTGACTCAGTTAAACCTTCCAGGGGGGGTAGAAGGTCCAGGCTTATCCAGTGATACAGGAAGGCTTCCCAATACTGGCAAACACTCTGGCGTCGAGGTAGTGACAGCCCGCTGCTCAAATACTCATCTGGTAAAGACCCAACGAGCCGCAGGTGTGCAAGGAGGCCCAATGAGACCAGGGCACGATCTGGTGGTGGAGAGAAGAAAAACACAAAAACAAACCACACAAACTGGAATCCTAACAATAACAGACAACAAATAAATAAGGTAATTATTACAAAGGCAAATAAATAACGAAGTTAATAAACGAGATATATACATTCATGTCTCATTGTATTATTTAATTTCTACCTACAGTTATTTGTTTATTGTATTTTTGGGGGCACATAAAAGTATGCTTATTTATTTATGGCGGCCTAGTGGTTAGGGCATAGGACTTTGAATCCT